TTGTTTGATGGGATTATTGCCAAAGCTGGGCACATTAAAGAGGGGTGGCCTTCCACCCCCAGACCCCCCCCCCCAGTAGGGGGGGGGAAATCCTGGGAGTTGAAGTCCACTCATCTTAAAGTGGCCAAGTTTGGACAACACTGACATACACAATATTGATTATGTGCCATCAAGTTGTTTTTGACTCCTAGCAACCACATAGATTTTCTCTATGACAATCTATCCCTAACCTATTCTTTCAAGTCTCCCAACAGTTAACTCATTGCCACTGTAACTGAGTCCATCCACCTTGCTGCTGGTCATCGTCTTCTTCTCTTTCCTTCCACCTTTCCCAGAATTAAAACCTTTTCCAGAGAGCTGGGTCTTTGCAAACAGAAGAAAGCAGAGGCTGAGTATGTAGCCAGAGTTTGTTCATCTCTTGGCAAATTAACAGATGCAGCTATTACTAGGGCTCAGGAAAGCATTCAAAAGGGGTGTTTCACAATGCATCAGGCAACCCCCCCCCCAACATTAGTCATCAATTAAAAAGTGAATAGCTACATATGAAGGAACAGACTTTTCCTCTGCTGCTCTTTGGGAGAAATGATAGCAATGACCACTCCAGATGTTCTGTTGAGGATAGAACAATGCCCACCATGACTAGGATGAAGGGGTGTCTTTATACAAAGGTTTCTGTTGGCTGACTGCTCTATTCACTGCAGCTTAATAAACTACATTATGATCATCCAAATGTTCAATAAATTTGGCACTGAGGTTTGAAGAAAAAGCCACAGTGCCTCACAACTCCCAAAATGTACATATACAAGATATTCATATCCACAACTGGAACTGTACTTCTACTGTAGTCTTAGCATGGACCAGTTGTGTGTCATTAAGGCAGAGTATTGTAAACATCTCTTCTTGCATCCTTATCACAGGATCTGGACAACTGTGGAATATCTTCTTGATGATTCTCAAGCTTCCAAAACATTTCTGAAGGGATTGCTTTCCTTCAGGAAGAATAAATTGGAGATCAGGAATGTAAGAGTCCATTTATCAGCCCATGCATGCTGCTATTAGAAGAATGCTAGACATCATCTCCTCCATCCCCCACCCCCCAGTACATGTAGACAAATATTATGAGCATTTTTACACATGGTTCTTTACCATTTTCTATGTAAAAATAATTATTTCAGGTAAGGTCACATTTAACAGGTTTTTCACTCTACATCCCCTTCCCTTCTTTTCCCTTCCAAGAACAACTTTTGTTTAAAAATACATATTTTGTAAGGCAGGAAACTCAATTGATCCACTGACCTTTGAGGCAGACCCCAGGACTCTTTGCAATGTATTTATGAACACTATTTAGCCACTCTTATCTCCTAATCCTCATAACAATCCAGCCTAATTTTTCCATTTTTCTACAGTTTCACAATTTATAATTGAGCTGAATTTTTGTTAGGGCCTTTGGTCAGTCAACTTCAGAATTTATAAAAGAATTTATAGGATTTTGTTCTATCCATCTGATCCAGTGGACTTGATACAGCAACACTTTATGCAAAATGATTTTATCTCTTAAGATGTCCCCACATTCTTCATTTTTTATTGAACAGATACTAAGGTCTCCATGAAGCATCATAGTTTCATTTCCTTTGCATGCAATGTAGAAAAAGCAGGATATGTAATGAATGGGTTGTTCATGTGTCACATAAGCAAATTCAGATCAATAGGATTTGTTAATCGTGATTAAATCCTACTGACTTTTACATCACTAAATTTAAATCATAGCATTCTTAAAACAGGAAATTATGTTGCTTCTTTTGTGGGTGGAGAGGATGAAGAAAGACTGATGTTTAATCATCTCCTAATTGCTTTCAAGGATCCTTCAATTAAGAAATTTACTTGGAATAGATCTAGTAATTTTAGTAATTCACTTCCCATTTATGAGTGGCATGATAAATACTAAATTTTCACTCATCCCCAAAGGAGTTTGCCATGTGTTTCTGTTTTGTATTTCAAAGCCATTGTCAATCTCAAAAGGTGCCATGCTGTGAAGCTCCATAAGGGTGCTTTTCCATACTGCTATGAAATAAACAGGTCACTGTTGTGACCAATCCATAAACATAAAGAGGGAAGAAGAAAGAGTTCAGACCAAAGAAACATTCCTTTCTGGACCAAAAGTGACAACCAAGAACCACCCTTTAATATCAGGAAAATAATTAAGAGTTATGTTTTTTAATAGCACCATCTTTTCCATGCAGTTATGCAATGCGCTGAATGATTTTTCACAGTATGTCTGTGTCCATTGCCAGAACTGGCCCTGGCCTTCCAGTTTGTTCATTACATCTAGTTTCTCAAGCACACCTCTCCCTCTTCCAGGTATAATAGGTGGAGTCTGCACTCCTAGGGAATGTACTGTATCTTATTTATCATCCACAAAATGTGGATGGTATTCCAGCAATAAAACAGGCTCTACAACATCACTGAATAATTCAGAGATAACAAAGCTGGTCTGACCTAGTTGTGCATTCCATTCTGCATAATCAGTGGCTTCCTGTTATGAATTAGTATTACTTCCTTACACCCCCACTTTTGGAGCATCAAGTTCATTTGGAGGGTAGCTCTAATGCTGAGTTCTCTGTTCAAGTTCAGAATTCCTCCTCCTCACCCAGAGAAGGAAAATGGAACAGTGGTGTGGCCCTTGGATGCTATTCAATTACTGGAAGTTGGGCAGTGTAAGCTTTTAATAAACAAGTGAATAATAAATACTCAAGGAACTATAGAATTCAATGGCATTATTTTGTTTGTTTTCAAGGTTTTATATGAGTGGCTATTCATTTTTTTTTAATAAGGAGAATAAAAGAATTTTAAAGAATTTATTTTTATATTGCAGTAAATTATATGCCTGATTGTAATTTTTATTTATATTGCAGTAAGAGACCAGAAACAACTTTATTTATTTATTTATTTATTGGAGAATATATCTAAAATACAATGTTTTTAAATTATGACATCATTTTTAAATGGTGCATTACTCTGCTTTTTTTTTTTTTACACATAATAGCATTTCATTTAGATTTGTTAACATCTGTAATTAGAAAAATAAAGCATACTAACATTAAATTATGGTTCAGATTTATGATTAAAACACAAAATAATATTTACACATCAAACAATTTAAAAGCTAAGACATTTATTCTTCAGTACTAATAGCTGCATTTTAATGACTATGTTGAATCAAAATATCCTAAATCAGATGAAAAATGCCTACTTCAGAATGCATTCATGTGCTTCTATTAAATATTCAAGTTATTGAGTGCATGTAATATCTTATTCTACACAGTTACTTTTGTAAGAAATGGCTTCTTTTTCTGTGGCTTATTATGCAATCTGCAAAGGATGATTTCTTGTTGCATCAACCTGAAAATCACAGCAATTCTCATCAAGTATCAGATCCTGCATAGACATCCACACTGCATTAACTATGCTTTCTTTTGGACCCATGGTCTTTTCCTTTTCACTATGCGCAAAAATGACTAGAAGAAAAGAGAACAGTAGGAAAAGAGGGGGGAAGGCTATGGCCAGTGCATGTATGGCATTAATTTGATTTGTGCTCAGCAGGAAGAACTAATAGAAAGAACTTATTGGAATGAGGCTCTAACTTCTCTGGTCTTCAGAGGCTGACAAGGGCGCCAGTTGTCAACCATGGTGCACTGAGGTTCATTTTCCTTATTGAAGCAAAGGCAGCGGATTTTGTTGATCTGGAGGAAAGAAAAGAGAGCAGTGTTCATCTACTTCAAGTAGAGTTCTTAGGGTTGTGACTCAAGGTTTATTAGGTACAGAAACTTTCCTATGTGTATATTGACCCAAATAAAAAATAACAAGTAGTCTCCCATCCTACTCTTTCCAGCCTGGTGTTGGCTTCAATTGTTTTGGAGGAGTGTAGGAGCTGAAATGCAACACGTAATGAATGTTCTAGGTTGAGGAAATCTGGAGCACACAATAATGGGTTGGACATTAAGTGAATGAAAACAGCTTATACTAGTGAACAAATTGCTCATATGGTAGCCTTTCTCTGTATAGCAGCAAAGACACATGCTTGTTTTCTATTCACCTCTCATCTCAGTGTGTGTGTGTGTGTGTGTGTTATTTCTCTCTGAGCATTCATGCAAATGGGTCAGATGACTGAAAACATATTTGGCATATCTATAATCCCAGCTGAAATACCTAAAACATTATGGGACTACATAATTTTTTCCCTCATCCCATAGTGCAGATACCAGCAATGCACCTGCAGCACCTCTAGATAGTATTCCTCAGCCCTCAATATTAATATATATATATAGGGATCAAAAAATCTTAAGATTTCAGTTTTATTTATTTATGCAGACATTTGTATACTACTCACTTCAGAGACTAAGTAGTTCACAATAAACAGGAAAAAAAACCTCCATACAAAAAACAATGATCTATCTATGTATCCATCCATCCTGTACCAATAAAAACCACAATCTCAAAATGCAGTATAATCTGAAAAAGGTATTCCAAGCCACCATAAGCATTCAAATGCTTTGTGGAATCAAATGCTCTTAATGGCTTTGCAAAAGTGTAAAAATTTGAAGAGCTCATACATTTCAAGAAGCGGGCTATCTCATAATGTGGGATTTGCCACCAAGAAGGGTCAACTCTGGATCCCCATCTCCTTCACCTCGTAGGAGATAAGGGGCCCTCATCATCCCCTCTCAATGACTGCACAGGACTGATAGCAAAAAAATTAGAAGGAGTCTTTTCCAACTAACAAGTGTTATTAATTAATTAATTAATTAATTAACTTTTAGTTGGAAAAGATGTTTTCCAACTAACAAGTGTTATTAATTAATTAATTAATTAATTAACTTTTAGTTGGAAAACATCTTTTCCAACTAACAAGTGTTATTAATTAATTAACTTTTAATAAAATTTATTAAAAATCATGAAAGCTTATGCCTTTTAATAAAATTTGTTAGTCAGAAAAGATACTATCAGACTCCTGATTTTTTTCCCCACCGTGGACTAACACAGCTCTCCTCCTACAACATCCAAAGGATTGGTAAAATCAGCAAGCAGGACCAGTTGCAATTTCTGAGTTTACAAGGCAACCCCACGTAAAGTGTTTTATAGTAGTCTCCCTCTCTTGATAATGAGGGCATCAGTTACTGTCATAAGGGTGTTCTGTTCCAGAAAGGTCCACAACTGATGTACCAGTCAGCAAAGGCCCTCCTGATCACAGCTTCCAGTGGCTGTTCAGTCAGGAACCCCCCATCTGCTCCTTCAGAAGTATGACTTTATCCACAGCTGAACTCAAAACTGGAAGAGGCAGATTGGTTACTGCAAACAGCACCTCCATCTTTGAATTTAAGCTTGTTTTGTCCCATCTAGTTCCTCAGTCTCCAGCCACTGAATAAGGAACTCCATGGCATCTCATTGCCTGGATTGATAAAATTAAGTATCATCACCATTTTGATGACACCTTACCTCATACTGACAGATGCTCCTTCACAGTTTCATAAAGATATTGAGTCATGTGAGGATCATACCAAGCCCTGTAGTCCCACACTGGAGTAATCATAGGCTTGACTGTTCCTTTCCCATGATCATCATAACACGGTGCCACCAACTTTTGCAGGCAGTCCAGAAAGAAGCTATGGTCTATGGCACTGGATGCTATCAAGTGATCTAAAAGCGGGTGGGGCACACTCTTTCTACCAAGTTCTGACAGAGGTCATCAACCAGATTGTGACTTATTGTCTAAATCCCAGACTCAAATTTTTGCAATCTTGACATATTCCAGCAATTACAAATGCTTAATACGCATGCCATCACGCAAAATCACACAAAGCCAACTACACCTGAAAGTACTCCTAACATAGACACATAACACTGAAAGCCTACATAGCCATACATTGTGATTATTTTTATATATATCTATCCGGGGTGGGAGTGAAAGCAGCTTCATATTACCAAGTCTAGCACTGTGAAATTCTATTAGAAAAGTACATTTGCCCATGTTCTCTAGATAAACTTTGGGGGGAGAACACTAACTCTTGGCAGTGGGGGGGGGGAGGATACAATGTTTAAAGCAAATAGATTTACCTGTTCTTTGCTCACAGTTACAGGCTCCTTCAGGACTATCCAAATGACACATTCAAGCAAAGGAGGTGTGGTCAGTGATCCTAGGTAGGTCCAGTAGTCAAGAGAAGCAGGTAGGAGACCAGTGGGATCAAAGTTGGTAAAGTTAGCCTCTTTCCCCTAGAAGAGATAAGCAGTTTGATAAATCTAGCATATGAATAGATGGTGTGTACACAGAGTTTAATAATGATTATGATGTTTGTAAAGGAAGTTTCATATATCCTTTATTAAAAAGTATCCAGCTATTAAATCACAACTATATAACTTCATTTTTCAAATATGCTGCTGCTAGACTGGGGTGGACAGGGGGAAGGATTGTTAGCGCTTGAAGCAAGCTCTTGCTGCATTCAAAAGCTACATATCAATTAATGGTTTGATAAGTGCAGTTTTTTCTGTTATCTATCACATCAAAAATTCATATGATGAGATCATATACAACTTTCAAGAGTACAAATATATTCTGGAATCACAGCCAGTTGTGAATAGCTACTATAACTTTCATTTACCTACTATTATTGTTAGTCACACAGTCAGCCAGATGTTTAGACTGGATTTGGGATTTTTATCCACTTATCCAGTCCTTCCCAAAGACCTGGGAGAGGCAGATGTTGTTGTTGATGGTGTTAAAGGAATCATCTCAGGATATAAGCTGTTCCAAGTAAAGCTGCCTTTTGCAATTGACTGCTGGTGATTTTGCCAATGCTGATGGTTTTACAGTAATGTTTTTTCAAAGAATAACAAAATTCATAGTGCAGTCACTCCTAGCTACCAAGAAAAAGAAACACTTACTTTGTGTATAATGGAACTTAGTGCATCAACAACTTTCTGTAATCCAGGACAGGGACTTCCTACCTGTGAAATAAAAGGCATAAAGGGAAACTTGAGCTACGTCTTCTGCCCATGTGCATGTGTTCATAAAATTTACCAGCTGAAGAAGCCTTTTAAATTCAGCCCACTGACCTCCTTCCAAGAAATTAATCTTAATTCAAAAGGAAATCAATACTCAGCTTTCAAAACAATATCATCTATTACCCCTGTTCTGAAATAAGTTTGGAAAAGCAAACTCAACAATTTCAGTGGAACACAACTCTGCATAGAATGACATGAAAATTCAGGCATAGACTATGTACACAATGAAGTATAACATAAATTCGCATAACCACAGTTGTAACGATATGTAATTTTTGCTGCTTATCATCTTACACAGATACACCATTTAAGGCCAATCCTTCTGTATATACTGTATTTAAAAAGAAAAGTAGAAAATCTGTCAGATGCACCCACCCCATATAACTGATATAATAGGTACGTGCATATGAATTTTGTACTTGTACTGCATTCTTGACCACAAAGTTATGTTGCAAGAGTCTGTTCAATATGCTTAAGATTAGGGCATTATTTTTAGGTAAGAAGCTTTATTGGTCAGGTCTGAGTTATCTGACTTTTCTGCAGCATGTGTATTGGCTTGCTTGCATCACAAAGGCTTATTTTCTCTGCAAACCATGTAGCTTATCTAGAGTTATGCTGCATATAAATTATGTCAATAATCCTGTATCAGACCAGAAAATTTGCCCACCTGGCTTTCAGAGCCTTTCCAAACTTATGATTCTGTTCTTTTTAAAAAAAATAAATTGACCTGTTCAGCTTTCACAGGAAATTAATATAAAGGGAACAATGTTATCATAAAGATATCTGGGCAGTGAATTCACTTCTGAGTAAAGCACAAAGTCACCTTGGTCAAAAATTATTCTGAAAATACAATGATTATAGAAGGAAATATAAAGGTACTAACCTTCAAAAACACTCCCACAACTGCCAAACCATCAGGATGCTTTACAGCTTCATCAATATTTCCATATTTTGTGTTCCAGTGAACCAAGTGGAGCTGGAACCAAGAAGAATGTAGACAGAAAACACCCCATTAACAGGCTTTCCTTTAAACAGAGGAGCTAAATAAATTATATATTAACCTGTAGGCTGAAAAGGTCTCTTGATTTCTGAGACATTAAAAGAAAGAACTGCTAAGAACTGGCTTGTTAGTTTCTTTTCCCATCCAGTGAAAAATGCAAATATAGCTATATTTTTCATGCTGTCTTCTCATGCCATTCAAACAATTACTAATATGTGAGCAGACTGCCAATCCTCTTATTCAGACATTTCTGTGAAAAAAAAAAGTTATGCTTTATATAAATTTAGAAGGATCAGGTAGATGGAAAGAGGAAAGAAATGCCCACTGCTCTGAAAAATAATGGTGCAAAATGCGGTAACAGAATGATCTCTGAAGAACACAGATTTTACCATTCACTGGTCTTCTACCATCTCCGTTGGCTTCTAACTTCCTTCTGGGCCCAATTCAAACTGGTGGTTACTGCACTCAGTGTCATACCGAGGTTACAACTCTCAAATTCCCAGCCAGGAAAGCCATTTGTTTGTTCTTTGTTAACAGGATGTATATCCATTTTTGTATGATGGCAAGGCAGTGTATTCTTCAATTTTATCTTAATGATAACCCTATAAAGTAGCTTATGTTGAGAGCCAATGACAGACCCAACATCTCAGCAATCCTAGTTCAACCTTCTAGCCATTAGACTGCTTTGGCATCTCAACCTATCTAGGGGCACCAGACTGGAGAAGGCTAACCTAAAGAGTGTAGGCCAGGATAACTGAAGGGCACTTCCTCTTAGAAGTGGTAACCTGTCCATTGCATTTAACATCAAAGGGATATCTCTGTCTCATTTTCTTTTTCTGAGTAGTGACTAACAGGATTGTAGAATCAGTACATTCTAGTCTGTAAGTGTGAATGTTGAACAACTATGTCAACTAGAGCAAGGTTGGGTGATTTTATCAGGATCGGAAGTGACAACTAGTTCCATCACCTAGAGAGCTGCTAATGACATTGGTGGAATGGTGGTGACATCATAAGAAAAGGCACAAGTGATTTGGGGAGCTGATTTTTCAGTGCTTTTAAAAATGTTCCAAAACCTCCCAAATGGTCCAAAATTGTGCTACTGAAATTTGGCAGGAAAATGGCTGAATTTTGGTAGTGCAACTTTTTGTTAATTTGAAAAATAAATGTATTTTAATAAATGTATTAAAAATAATAATTACATCACTAAAATTGCTCATTTTGCCACCAAATTTTAGCAGCAAAATCTTAGTGCTGGGAACCATATTCATGGAGGCCACAAATTGCCTAGATTTTCTTCGTTACTTTCTAGATTCTGAAATGCCTTTCTTACTTTTTATTTATTTCCTCCCAAAAACTAACCAAGTCTTGTGTGACTAGCTACATAAAATAAAATAAGCAACCACACAACTGTTCATTGTTCTCTATTACATAAAAAAGAAAAAAGTTTCTAGTGGCTATCAACCTGGTCTTTTCACAGAGTGAGGTGGCCATCATGGGTGGTATAAAAGAGGTGTTGTTGGCAATTCTCTGACTGTCCACTCAGTAGCTAGTCTACTACCCTCGGGTAAAGTGGGAAGAATACTGCCTCCTTATCACTAATGAAATAAAATTCAATTTCAGGTCTGTGGAGTCCCTGGAGTTCTCTGAGCTTGGCTGTTTTCTTGCAAATGTTTCATTACCCAGCTAGGTAACATCTTCAGCACCTATCCAGGTAACGAAACGTTTGCAAGCCAAGCTCAGAGATCTCCCGGCACTCCACAGTTCAACCCTGAGCTACATCTATTCTCTTCTATTAATTTCAGGTCTCTAGGACAAATGGCTGCTTTAATTTGGATTCCTCCTCTGAGCAGTTGGACTTGATAATCTAAGTGATTCCTTCCAACTCTACAATTCTAAGATTCTAAGAACTGTAATATTTATTTTTTTCCTAGCTTTCAATAATAATTACTGGATTTGAATGACATAATTCTTTATATTACAGATTTCCTTTTAGGGTAAAAAAATAAAGCTTACCCCTTATAAGTATCATACATAAATTTAGAAAGATGAGGGTCTTTCAAAAATATATCTTATAAAAATTGACCGGTAATCAGTAGAATACTTGTGCATATGCTGTTTATAAATTGTCTTAGGCCAAACAATTATGGTAAAGCTTGTAAGTTCCTGAAATCTGATTCTATACTTTTGTAAGTAGGAGTAAGTGCTTTTGAACTAAATGGAACTTGTTTCAGAACGGACATATCTAGGATTATAAAATATGAATACACATACTGTAATATAAATTAGTATGTTAGGTTAAACAGGCTTCAATAGGAACAGTCTCAGTTTTGTCTAATGAAACTTAGTGCAGAAATTGGTGAACCACTAGTTTTTAAATATTTTATCAAGAATATTTATTCTCCTCTCTTACCTGGAACACTGTGCTTTTATAATTAATAGATTCTGAACTAGGATATAGTTTTGATAATAACTTTTTATTTTTAAAAAAGAGAAAGGATTACAATTCAGCACAGTAAAATAATTAAACAATTGAAAGGATAAAGTATGCATTTAAGATAAATAACAATTCATTTAAGGGAAGATAAAACTACGTCATATTTGATTCCTGTAACAGATCAAAATATTGTGCAAAAAAAAAGAAAGCAACTATTATAGGCTGTGTCCAAAAGGTAAAGAAAGGCAAGCAATAGCAAGCTGGTCTAGGAAAAAAGTTACATGGTATTTCTACTGTTATATAGTGTGATGTAGAACTTGAATCAGCCTAAATTAGAGGAACCCCTTTTAAGATCCTTCCGTATAATGAGATTCAATTATTCTCATTACAATGTACTTCATAGTGTCGCTATAAGGAGAAAATGGATGGGTGGCCTTTATCCTATCCTGACAGGCCAGTATTAAAGTATAATTAAAAAAATAATAAACCTGGGCCAAAACATAGAGACCTTAGGCTATAATATTATTAGACAGAGAAGGGCAACATGCAAAAAACTTCATATGGCCCGTGTTAATGGGTGGGTTGCTAAAGAAGTATTGATTAGCAAAGAATTCTAGCTGCCATCAAATATTAATTAGCCTATTCCCAGTTTTAATATCCAATTCTTGCACATTTTAGCATATTTTTCCATACTGAATACATGCGTGCGTGTCCATACACACACACACACGTGAAAATAAACACTTGGAAGTTAATGGTCTTACCTCTGCATCATATTTCACCCCATCAACAGTGTGTTCAGAACCTTGGCCTTCACAGGATCCCCAATGAATGTGAAATTGCTTTAATTTGTAAATTCCTTCAACTGGGCCACCTTTCAGCACTGAAATTAAAAAAAAAAGGCTATAGCAGAATTCATCCATAAAAAGGTACCTGACCAAAAGAGAGCTCATGGCTTATAACTAAAACTGTATTAGTCTGAATTGCTTTTTCACATTCAGTCACTTTTTTTGGATATATTTTCACTAATGGCATTGTCAGGTTAAGCAATGATGAAAAGAACAAACAGTATGAAAATTATGAAGATACAATAATTTGCCCCAATTGCAAATTTCCCACTGACTTCCTTTAAGATTGCACATTGATAAAATGTGTCCTCTGATCCTGCTATGATGAACTGAATTTCTGCCATAGACCAGTGGAGAAGACTTGTAAAAGAACTTGTAAAAATCTCTTAAAGATCACAATCTGCACAGGCAAAATATGTTCTGTGATCCTGAAACTTAACATGAGCTAATTTCATAAGGACACCTGCATGTAAAGAAAGCAATTAAATTTTTATGGATGAGCACAAATTCTCAGTTGACCCTGTATAGCTGCTTTATATGAAGCTGCTAGTAAGAAATCATAGACTTAGGGCATCTTAGTGCTTCTAAAAAAATACATTTTCTCTCCATTGGCTACTACTAACAGATCTTGATTTGCTATGGTGTTCCTGAAGTACCAGTAAGAAAAGATATGGAATTCTACAAAAATACAAACCAAGACAGTTTTCCTATATTTTCTTCTGCATCCCAAAGATTAGGGCATACTGTTGGCTATGCAGTGGGCCTTGGTATACAGTATATGCATGTCAGACCAATAAAAAAAATTATTACACAAGAATAGAAATTTTCCCCAAAATATTCCATGTTCCAGAATTCTGTATTACTGCTGACCTGAGTTAAACTAGTACGGATTATAACAGATTAGGCTGTTTTGTCCTTGACTTACCCACAGGCCATTATTGAGTTCAATCAGGGTGATTTCTAATCATTATCCAACAGCCTACCAACAGGGCAAATTGTCATTTTGGGGGAGGATCTTTTTAAAAACATGCTATCTCTCACCAGCACACTTTCTATATTTGGTAATACTTAGTTCTGAATTAGCACAAGCAGAAATTCACAGGCAGAATGATTATCTTAACTTCCTGGTTTAGAACCTCTAGAACGGTTCAGGCAAAACTTTTCACGTTTAAAAATGTACTTTAGTAGTTTCTTCTGATAAATGGCAGTTGGTTATCTAAGAGAAGTCAGCAGGAGACTGATAGCAGCACATGGTTTAACTTTGAGAGATAATTTGGGGAAAAAACCCTTCCCTAAATGGCCCATATTTATAGATATTACATATTAGCTGTTTGTCAGCAATTACCCTAAATGTACCTTCAAGAACTTACTATTTAAAGACATAAAAATATCCATATTTCACATCCTCATATGACATAAATGACCTAGGCTAATTTCATATGGAACTATTTCCTAGACTGGTATCCCTGGCAGGTAGAAACAACATCCAGAAACCTGTAAATATGCTTGTCTTGCTATAATTATTTGGCTGCTTGTGTATGTGTTAAAAAGTCATATTTAACCACAGTTTTTGATTGCCTACACATAGAGGCAGATTTTTATCACATAACTAGGCTATGATGGTATTCACACAACATACTTAAACTGATTACTGAATAGACAGCCCCTCACTGGGTGTCTTTGGTTACTATCACCAGTCCCCTTTCTTGCAGGTTTGCTACTAGGAAGATAAAATGAAGGTAAACCTCCATGAATGCTTCCTAATAAATCTAATAAAATGATACAGTTCCTATATAGGTACATAAGCAATGACCTGCTGGACTGGACCCCTGGCCCATCTAGTCCAGCAGTCTGTTCTCACAGGGGCCAACCAACTGCACAGGGAAGTCCTCTAGTCAATCAGCAGATTGCCTTCAGAGGCAGCCACACTGCTATCAGGGCTAGTAGCCATTGATCTCCATGGCTTTCCTATAATTTCTAAGAATTTGGAATATGGAGAGAAGATTGTCAAACAGACCTATATTGTAAGGTGTGGAAGCTAGACTTGTCTTTTTTACTTGATGTATTTGTTAGTTCTCCCAAGCCTAAACATTTTTTTCTCATAAGTAAGTTCTATTGATTTCTGCTGAAATCAATAGAACTTACTTTGGAATTTTTAAATTCCAAAATATATCTAAAACTAAAATATATTACTATTTGATGCTTGAAAACAATTACATATGGAAAAGGTTGTTATTACTACTACATTATTTAGGACAAAATCAGATAATTCAAACAATGAACGAACATATTCATTCATATAAATGCCACCTATTCCACCTAATGAAAACTACAACAGGGAAACTGAAGAAGAATGTCTGGGGCAAGGTTTGCTTCTTAAGGGGAGTCTTCTCCTTCTGGTCCATTATTTTTTTATAGTTATAAAACTCTATAGATAGACCCATGTTATTTATGGCATGAAGAGAAATTCCAAAATTGTGCCAAAAAAGGGTCTTATAAAGGGGTAGGCTGTCCTTGGTTGATAGCCACTGACTATATCAAAAAGTTCAGCCTGGGTGAGGTTTAACTGCTAAGTGTGCTTATATAGGATATTTAGGGAGTAGTTTTATAAGGGAGTTGCTTGAGTAATCCTTCCAAAACATCTGTTTTATTGAAGTTTCCAACTGCCTAAGAGATATCTTTAGTAAGTTATTTTTTCTGCATCCTTGTATTTGTCAGTTATGCACTGAATTATTAATGAAAATATAATATTAGAAAAGAAACATGCTTCAAACAATATTAATTAATTATGCAGAGAGCAATTTCTTGAGGTTATAGAACAATACAAGTTAAAATCAATTAGATAGTTAAGTACTAATTAGACCTTCATGACCCATGTATATAAGATTAAAGTGATCCCAACAGCCATATTTGAACTTTTGAACCTTTCCAGTTTTTGTTTTGTAATTCAAAAGCTTTTGAACAGTTTTACTGACTTTATCTACAATGGATTATGGACTGATATCATAATTGCCTTCACATTATCCCAGTAATTACTGATTTATTGTTTATATGCATAAATAAGCCAGTTTTATCATAACCTCAAGAAAACAGAATTCAGATTGTGTGATCATAGGAGCAAACGTAGACCAGCCATTGAGCAGCATAGCAGAATAAACTACAACTTGAGACATCAAGCTGATTCTAACAATGCTTGAATTTTAAAAAGTATTCATGTGAGCAGTATAGAATGCAACTGCACACGTGCATAAGATTTCAGTTTTCTTTCCCTGAAAAATAAAAGCACAAGGAGGTGTTGGCTGTGTTGGCTGAGAATTCTTGAAGTTTAATCCCAACATAAACTGGAGGGTACCAGGTTGGTGAAACTGCTTCTGTAATGCAGGGCTGATTCATCTTGGCACTTGAGTCAAAACAAAGCATCAGAAGCAACAGATGCCACCTTGCAAAGCTTCAAGGCAGGGCCAGACCAGCTCTACTAGCCACTTTGCTTTAAAGTAAATGGTTTCTGCACATGCAGAAAATGGCATATGCACTAAAGGGCCAGAGAAGCAGCTACAGAAAAGCGGTTTAGCTGCTCTGATCCAGCATCTAAAATATTGCATCACTTTGAGGATCTGCTCCAGTGGATCTACTTTGAGGATCTGCCCTACTCACTTTCTGAACAAATCAACTCATCAAAACTTTGGACAGCCCCAATGAACTGTAATAGTTATAAAAGTCATTTAATTGATCTATTGGTAATAAACAATTAGAGAAATGTATATATTATACATTTTAATAAGCGTTAGTGAAACAGCAAATACAGTTCATTAACTTACAGATTTGTTAATATGAAATATGACACTGTGCTATGAGAACTATATTATACTGCTGGCATGCCAATGTTAAAGGATTTATAACATAATTCCTGTTTTATTATCCAATTTCCAAGGAAAAGTACTCATGTGCATGAAACCAGCATAACAGCTTTAAATATTTTTTAGGCTTTAAAGTACTTAAACAATAAAATAATAAAAAGGAAAATCCAATGTCCTACTTCTCAAACTTTAAAAATGTTTAAGCAAATTAAAAAAACAAATTCAATTTGGAATTACAGACTTAGTCATATTTACCACAAACCCACTGAAATTTTATTCTAGTGGGTTTAGAATAGGCGTAACTAAGCCAGGATCCAGCTCAATAATAAAAAATATGACAGCCAATTATGTAACCTAGTTAAATTAATGTAGCTAAATTTAAAGCTGACCATACAAGCGTTCCAAAATCTTAGCACATCAATTCAGTTAAATAGTAGACTGAGTTGTCTATATCAATATTGTGTGGATACCATGCTTAAACAGTCTAATATACATATTGCAAAGGATTCTTTACTTTTTACCCTAGTTTATTATCTACTTTGGCAACAATGCAACTACCAGACACAGTTAAGGAAACTGCAGTAAAGTTAGGGAGAGAGGGAAGAACTGAAGAGCCTTAAAAATTATTACAAGTATTACCATGCAGACACTTTTTGCAAAAACAGCACACAAATCAAAATAATGGCAAATATCAACCCAGGAAAGACAGCGAACCCTATCAGCATTCTGTAAGGCAACTTTTTAATTAATGAATAATCGGTAGCCATTTTTTACCATTTGTGGATTTGCAGTGCTTCTGATACTGTAAGGAAGAGATCAGTAAATGTTACACAAGTGCTTTAAAAGGCCATGTGCCAAACCTCATCATGCTAATCATAAAAGAAATTCAAGATGAACACCTGTGACAAAGCAGCACAGATAAACAATTTAATTTCTAAATTTCATTATATTATCCTTCACTAGTTTCTTGGCTCTTACAGCAGCTATAAACTTTGGTAGTCAGGATAAAAAAATGTACACATTATCAACATATGTTCTAGTATAAATAATAGAACAGCCACGGAATGTTCCTTCTTTCAAAGCAATGCCTTCCGGTCTTAATTTTGCTAGGCCGCGTGCAGCATCTTGGTGTCTCAAGAAGGAAATGGATTTTTCATTGGCACATTTTGAGAACTGAACAGTTTGATCCCAATATATGTGGGATCTATGCACAAGATGTGGGAGGGTGGAAAAATATTGATATAATTATTTCCTTCTCCTCCCCATATTCTAAACTTAAAAAAAAAAAATTCTGCAGAAAAGAGAAAGTGACCAGACTGGCTATAAGTGAAGGGCTGAAAAGATCTTCAGAACTATTTTTGTTACACTGTTACTCTCTCCAGCTAGCTGACATAGTCTCAGTCTGAAAAATAATAACAGTGACCCCTCTGTTCTCCTGAGTAGACTGCATTTCTGAATTTTCAGCAGTATTGTGGCTACTCACAGGCCCTATTGCCTTCCTCCAGCTAAAGAGAGGGGGGCTTAAGAAAAGAGCATGACAAATGTCAAAGAATTCTTAAGTAAGAGGGAAAGAACAGTTATAAAATTATGCCACAGGCATGCTGGAGATTATCAAGGATATCTACCAATGCAAAACACGGTAATTCTTACAGAAATATGAACATCAGCATCTGTTTTTTTAAGGATTAGCTCCAAGCCCACATGATACCGGAGCATCTCTCTCTTTCCCCTACAACTGTGAAAGAGCAAAAATCTCAAATTCCTGCCCTCCTTCATCAATTATCATACTTTAGGCCTACATTTCCACTGCTCCCTTTCCCTTCCTCTCTCTGTTTCTCTGTCCAAAACAACTAAAGGAAAAAAAATTAACTTTCTCAATAATCCCTAATTTTGCAACCAGAACAAAATATGTAAATATATGCATTTCATACTGTGACTTCTCATGCATGCAAATCCACTAGTGGTTGAGGTAATAAAAACTATGCAAAAATCCTGTTACATTAAGAGACATAAAATAGGCATCCTTACTATTTATGTTTTGCATGTAGTTTTCTCATCATATTTCAGACACTGAATTTCATTAAAGGGTCTAGATGCAAGATGATATTTTGACTGCTTTTGGCCACAGTAACCAGAGACTGAGAAAATGATTGTGGGTGAGAACGAAAAATCTATTCCACTCAGAAAAGACATTCTGTGCTGAGCCCTGCATTTACTTTTTTATTTTATTTTTTATTAAATGCTAAGGTAAAATGGTTTGTACACACTTTGGCTACAATCCACAACCTATTTTATTCCAGAGTAGTCCATTTAAATATTAAAAGAAGGAGGCTTTGCATTGTAGCTGCTGCACGGCTATTTGCAATACTGTTTGGAAATCTTACAAGTCCAAACTGTTCTAGGTTCTTTGAACGTGTCACCTCAATGACACTGCCAACGTGAGGGAAAAGTATAGAGCACTTGCTCAAGCAAGTCAAATCAGGCAGTGCTGAGAGAAAAAGCAGCCAGTTTGTTTTTAGGTCATCATTTCTCAGATTTGAAAGCTCACTCATGGATACTGAAAGGGGAAGAAGACTACATCGGCAATCATTACGATTAAAAAGCAATCCTTCAAATTCCTGTTCACAAGAATAGCTTCGCACTGCCTGCAGTTGCAGAATCCTTATAAAGAATAGCGAACTTGCAAAATGCTAAAAAGAGGGAGTTAATTTAGAATTACTGTGAATAGAGCATCCTACAGCAAAGGATGACTAACTGAACCATATGGGAATGTGGGGAAAACGCAGCACTGCTTCTTAATTTTTAAAAAGTCAAAGATTACTAAATGGAGAGAATTGGAATTTAATGACATTTATAGTCACTTTTATTGGGATAATCACAACATATCATATGTTCCTGAATACTGGATATTCCTTGTCTTAAAATGAGCTTCCACTTTCAAAAGGACATTGTACCTATGGCATATTACATATATCAACATTCACAAAACTTCCCCAGAGCAGTACTGCAAAAGCCTGTTGAGTTTTAGTTTTACTGTTTGACCTATAACATTTTCCCCTTTTGTGCCCTTTTCTTTTTGAATCCAAGCTCTCAGCTTATTATCTTGTATATGCATATATTTACATATTTTGTTCTGATTACAAAATTAAGGATGATTGAGTCACTGGTTTGAGATGGGCTACTATACAAATTTTA